CCCTACACAGCCACAGTAACTCAACTATGCATCACTCCACTAGTGGTCCTGACGGCACTAGGTACCCTACACGCCACAGTAACTCACAGCATCACTCCACTAGTGGTCCTGACGGGCACTAGGTACCCTACACAGCCACAGTAACTCACAGCTCACTCCACTAGTGGTCTGACGGGCACTAGGTACCCTACACAGCCACAGTAACTCACAGCATCACTCCACTAGTGGTCCTGACGGGCACTAGGTCCCTACACAGCCACAGTAACTCCAGCATCACTCCACTAGTGGTCCTGACGGGCACTGGGTTTACCCTACACAGCCACAGTAACTCACAGCATAAACTCCACTAGTGGTCCTGACGGGCACTAGGTACCCTACACAGCCACAGTAACTCACAGCGTCACTCCACTAGTGGTCCTGACAGTCACTAGGTACCCTACACAACCACAGTAACTCACAGCGTCACTCCACTAGTGGTCCTGACAGTCACTAGGTACCCTACACAACCACAGTAACTCACAGCATCACTCCACTAGTGGTCCTGACGGGCACTAGGTACCCTACACAGCCACAGTAACTCACAGCGTCACTCCACTAGTGGTCCTGACAGTCACTAGGTACCCTACACAGCCACAGTAACTCACAGCATCACTCCACTAGTGTCCTGACGGGCACTAGGTACCCTACACAGCCACAGTAAACTCACAGCATCACTCCACTAGTGGTCCTGACGGGCACTAGGTACCCTACACAACCACAGTAACTCACAGCGTCACTCCACTAGTGGTCCTGACGGGCACTAGGTACCCTACACAGCCACAGTGACTCACAGCATCACTCCACTAGTGGTCCTGACGGGCACTAGGTACCCTACACAGCCACAGTAACTCATAGCATCACTCCACTAGTGGTCCTGACAGTCACTAGGTACCCTACACAGCCACAGTAACTCACAGCATCACTCCACTAGTGGTCCTGACGGGCACTAGGTACCCTACACAGCCACAGTAACTCACAGCATCACTCCACTAGTGGTCCTGACGGGCACTAGGTACCCTACACAGCCACAGTAACTCACAGCGTCACTCCACTAGTGGTCCTGACAGTCACTAGGTACCCTACACAACCACAGTAACTCACAGCGTCACTCCACTAGTGGTCCTGACAGTCACTAGGTACCCTACACAACCACAGTAACTCACAGCATCACTCCACTAGTGGTCCTGACGGGCACTAGGTACCCTACACAGCCACAGTAACTCACAGCGTCACTCCACTAGTGGTCCTGACAGTCACTAGGTACCCTACACAGCCACAGTAACTCACAGCATCACTCCACTAGTGGTCCTGACGGGCACTAGGTACCCTACACAGCCACAGTAACTCACAGCATCACTCCACTAGTGGTCCTGACGGGCACTAGGTACCCTACACAGCCACAGTAACTCACAGCGTCACTCCACTAGTGGTCCTGACAGTCACTAGGTACCCTACACAGCCACAGTAACTCACAGCGTCACTCCACTGATGGTAAGAATAATATCGTCAACTTGAGAATTATTCGTGCTAGTCCCTGGGTCAGAATCAACAGCCAGGTCCCAGCACTCCTAGGTAAGTCCCAGCAACCTCAGGAAGTTTCCAGCATCCTCAGTCAGGTCCCAGGAACCTCAGGAAGTTTCCAGCATCCTCAGTCAGGTCCCAGGAACCTCAGGAAGTTTCCAGCATCCTCAGTCAGGTCCCAGGAACCTCAGGAAGTTTCCAGCATCCTCAGTAGGTCCCAGGAACCTCAGGAAGTTTCCAGCATCCTCAGTCAGGTCCCAGCAACCTCAGGAAGTTTCCAGCATCCTCAGTCAGGTCCCAGGAACCTCAGGAAGTTTCCAGCATCCTCAGTCAGGCCCAGCAACCTCAGGAAGTTTCCAGCATCCTCAGTCAGGTCCCAGGAACCTCAGGAAGTTTCCAGCATCCTCAGTCAGGTCCCAGGAACCTCAGGAAGTTTCCAGCATCCTCAGTCAGGTCCCAGGAACCTCAGGAAGTTTCCAGCATCCTCAGTCAGGTCCCAGGAACCTCAGGACGGTCCAGACACCCAAAACAGTTGCTCAGCTTTGAAAAAGTGTCATCGTTTAGGGACTGATCACCTCACACCTACAACTCCACTACTTATACTGACACCAGCATTTAAGTCACCTCTGTGTTTCGACTGAAGAAGCATATTGAAAGGTCGAAACGTGTCGGAAATAAAGATATCCTCCTGTTGCACCGTCTCACTCAGCTATATAAGCCACTTCTCCGGCCATATGCTGTACTTTCTACAAGATTAATGGACTGAACACATCGATTCCAGGCTGAGGGACTGATACCTCAAACTCCTCTTCTTCTTACACGTTCCTGCTTTGTATTGGACTGATGAAGCCATCTTGTGGTGAAACGTTTAAACGTTTCTTCAGTAAAGATTCCCATATGTTGCGTAAGTGTCTCAGTCTTCAACTTGTCGGTTTTCATAATTATTTATTATCTCACTCAGCTACGATGACACAGGTTAGACCTGGGAGAGCCTCCCAGTGTACATGCCTGGGAGAACCTCCCATGGTGTGTAGACCTAGGAGACTCTCCTAGTGTACATGCCTGGGAGAACCTCCCAGATTGTGCAGGTCTGGGAGAGCCTCCCAGGTTGTGTAGGCCTGGGAGAGCCTCCCAGGGTGTGTAGGCCTGGGAGAGCCTCCCAGGGTGTGTAGGCCTGGGAGAGCCTCCCAGGGTGTGTAGGCCTGGGAAAGCGTGTGAACCCTGGTGTAGAGAAGAGCGTGATACGTGTGTGAGGCTACAGTGTGTAGCGGTGTCTTGATACACGAGGCGGGATTTCACGCTACGTGACGGGACTTTCTGGGTGGCGAGACACTGTGGGTGTGAGTGTGCGGGAGACAGCGTCTCCCACGGCCACCAGTGACGCGCGAAACATCGCATTGGTCAAGCTCTTGCTCCCCGTCCCTCACGCCCACCCCTCACATACATGATTATTATGATTCATAACCTTTACACACACACACACACACACACACACACACATACACACACACATACACACACACACACACACACACACACACACACACACACACACACACACACACACACACACACACACACACTCACACACACACACACACATAAACACACACACACACACACATACACACACACACACACACACACAAACACACACACACAAACACACACACACACACACACACACACACACACACACACACACACACACACACACACACACACACACACACACACACACACACACACACACACACACACGCATAAACAAACAAACACGCACACACGCGGGGGCCAAGAACTGTGACTCGACCCCTGCAACCACATACACCTTAATAGAGCTCATCTGTGCTTCCATGATTGCAATTATAAAGAGCTTATTTGTCTAAAGTTCTGTTCTACAAGGTACAGTACTTTGTCTCTATCCTGTTCCTCATCCTCATATCAGACATAGAGATGTAAACCATAGCACTGTATCATCCTTTGCAGACGATACTAGGATCTGCATGAGAGTGTCTTCCATTGAGGACACGGCAAATCTCCAAGATATAAACCAAGTTTTCCAATGGACAACGAGGAACAATATGATGTCCAATGAAGACAAATTCCAACTACTCCGTTATGGAAAACTGAAGGAAATAATAACTAGAACTGAGTTTACTTCAGACTCTAATCACACAATACAGTGGAAACGTAATGTGAAGGACCTGGGAGTAGTAATATCTGAGAATCTCACCTTCAAGGATCACAACAGTGCCACTATCACATCTGCGAGGTAATCAGGTATTATCCAAAAACGGGAGGGTAGATCCAGTTCCTTGGATATAGAGCTATTCATTAGCACTAAGTACATCACCCGCGTCCCCTCGACGGGCTTTCATTCACTAGAGTTAATTTATCATTTAGGTTGGATAATGAAAACATTCAAGACAAGAGATGCAAGCCAGTGATGATCCTTTTTAAATCACTGGTTCTCTCTAGGCTAGAATACTGCTGTACAGTAACTTCTCCATTCAAGGCAGGTGAAACTGCAGATCTAGAGAATGTACAGAGAGCCTTCACTGCACATGTAAGTTCCATCAAACACCTTAACTACTGGGAACGCTTGGAAGCACTTGACTTGTACTCACTAGAACGCAGGCGAGAAAGATACATCATAATCTACACCTGGAAGATCCTGGAGGGACTGGTCCCTAATCTGCACACAGAAATCACTCCCTACGAAAGCAAAAGACTTGGCATGCGATGCAACATTCCCCAGTGAAAGTAGGGGCGCCATTAGTACACAAAGATAAAACACAATAAGTATCCGGAGCCCAAGACTGTTCAACAGCCTCCCACCAGCCATAAGGGGAATTACCAATAGACCCCTGGTTGTCTTCAAGAGAGAGCTGGATAGATACGTAAAGTTAGTGCCGGATCAGCCGGGCTGTGGTTTGTACGTTGGACTACGTGCGGCCAGCAGTAACAGCCTCGTTGATCAGGCCCTGATCCACCGGAGGCTGGTCATGGACCGGGCCGCGGGGACGTTGATCCCCGGAATGCCCCCCAGGTAGACTCCAGGTACCTCAGCTCACGTCATAGCACAGACCTAGCTGAGGTTTATTGCCCACCCCCAGGATGCCAACACTTTCCAGTCGACTAGCACCAAGGTACCTATTTATTTCTAGGTGAAAGTGAAAAGGAGCAACAGGCGTAGGTAGGCTTCCCCCTCCATCTCGTTAAGCCCGTGAATCGAATCTTGGTGCCTCCAGGTGAGAGCCGAGAAATATGCCTTTGAGTTATAGTTAATTACGACTTAAACACCTGTGTTTGCAACATACCCAGTACCGGTACAGGTGACACAAAGTGCACTACCACCACCTCAACACTGCTGCTCACAACACATCAGGTACCAGTACACAAGGTGTAACTCAAGACAACACTCATTGAGTACTTACCTGTACTCTGGCCTCAGTCAGATCGATCTTCATAGCAATCTCTTCACGTGTATAGATGTCTGGGTAGTGAGTCTCCTGAAGCATGGCAAACCCACCGTTAGTTCTCTCATACACACACGCATATATATATATATATATATATATATATATATATATATATATATATTTATATATATATATATATATATATATATATATATATATATATATATATAAATATATATATATATATATATATATATATATATAATATATAATATATATATATATATATATATATATATATATATATATATATATATATGCAATAAGATCACAGTAAACAGGTGATTTCAAAATATGCAAAACAACCACTCTGAAAGAATAGAGAAATTCCTTGATAATGTGAGTAGTCACGAAAGCGCTTGGAATTTCTCTATTCTTTCAGAGTGGTTGTTTTGCATATATATATATATATATATATATATATATATATATATATATATATTATATATATATATATATATATATATTATAATATATATATATATATATATATATATATATATATATAATATATATATATATATATATATATATATATATATGTATATATTTATTTATTTATATACAGTTCATAAACAGTATTATTTTTGTCCAACAAATGTAATATAGATTATGCAGTTAAATATTGTACATTCATAGAGGCCTTGAAGATGACAACGAAGATGAAGACAAAGAGGAAGAAGAAGACATAAAGAAGAAAGGTGGTGGTGCGACGTACCTGGAAGGCTCTCTCCAGTTCCTTGAGTTGAGCAGAGGTGAAGGTAGTTCTGATGCGCCTTTGTTTCCTCTTCTCTGAGAGTACCCCATCATGTGCACCGTACATCTTGTACCCCAGACCAGCTGTACAGGAACACAACACTGTGTAAGTAACACTCTCTACTCCACACACACTGTGTACGAAACATTCCCTACTCCACACACTGTGTACGTAACATTAGCTACTCCACACACTGTGTACGTAACATTCACTACTCCACACACTGTGTACGAAACATTCCCTACTCACCACACTGTGTACGTAACATTAGCTACTCCACACACTGTGTACGTAACATTCCCTACTCCACACACTGTGTACGTAACATTAGCTACTCCACACACTGTGTACGTAACATTCACTACTCCACACACTGTGTACGAAACATTCCCTACTCCACACACTGTGTACGTAACATTAGCTACTCCACACACTGTGTACGTAACATTCACTACTCCACTCACTGTGTAGGTAACATTCGCTACTCCAAACACTGTGTAAGTAACACTCTCTACTCCACACATTGTATACATAACATTCGCTACTCCACACACGGTGTACGTAACATTAGCTACTCCACGCACTGTGTACGTAACATTCACTACTCTGCTCACTGTGTAGGTAACATTCGCTACTCCAAACACTGTGTAAGTAACACTCTCTACTCCACACATTGTATACATAACATTCGCTACTCCACACTCTGTGTACGTAACATTAGCTACTCCACACACTGTGTACGTAACATTCGCTACCCTACACACTGTGCATGTGACATTCGTTACTCCACACACTGTGTAAGTAACACTCTCTACTCCACACACTGTGTAAGTAACACTCTCTAATCCACACACTGTATACGTAACATTCGCTACTCCACACACTGTGTACATAACATTCGCTACTCCACACACTGTGTACGTAACATTCGCTACTCCACACACTGTTTACGTAACATTCGCTACTCCACACACTGTGTACATAACATTCGCTACTCCACACACTGTGTACGTAACATTCGCTACTCCACACACTGTGTACGTAGCATTCACTACTCCACACACTGTTTACGTAACATTCGCTACTCCACACACTGTGTACGTAACATTCACTACTCCACACACTGTGTACGTAACATTCGCTACTCCACACACTGTGTACATAACATTCACTACTCCACACACTGTGTACATAACATTCACTACTCCACACACTGTTTACGTAACATTCGTTACTCCACACACTGTTTACGTAACATTCGCTACTCCACACACTGTGTACATAACATTCGCTACTCCACACACTGTGTACGTAACATTCACTACTCCACACACTGTTTACGTAACATTCGCTACTCCACACACTGTGTACATAACATTCGCTACTCCACACACTGTGTACGTAACATTCGCTACTCCACACACTGTGTACGTAGCATTCACTACTCCAAACACTGTGTACGTAACATTCGCTACTCCACACACTGTGTACGTAACATTCACTACTCAACACACTGTGTACGTAACATTCACTACTCCACACACTGTGTACGTAACATTCGCTACTCCACACACTGTGTACGTAACATTCACTACTCAACACACTGTGTACGTAACATTCGCTACTCCACACACTGTGTACGTAACATTCGCTACTCCACACACTGTGTACGTAACATTCGCTACTCCACACACTGTGTACGTAACATTCACTACTCCACACACTGTGTACGTAACATTCGCTACTCCACACACTGTGTACGTAACATTCGCTACTCCACACACTGTGTACGTAACATTCGCTACTCCACACACTGTGTACATAACATTCACTACTCCACACACTGTGTACATAACATTCACTACTCCACACACTGTTTACGTAACATTCGTTACTCCACACACTGTTTACGTAACATTCGCATCTCCACACACTGTGTACATAACATTCGCTACTCCACACACTGTGTACGTAACATTCACTACTCCACACACTGTTTACGTAACATTCGCTACTCCACACACTGTGTAACATAACATTCGCTACTCCACACACTGTGTACGTAACATTCGCTACTCCACACACTGTGTACGTAGCATTCACTACTCCAAACACTGTGTACGTAACATTCGCTACTCCACACACTGTGTACGTAACATTCACTACTCAACACACTGTGTACGTAACATTCACTACTCCACACACTGTGTACGTAACATTCGCTACTCCACACACTGTGTACGTAACATTCACTACTCAACACACTGTGTACGTAACATTCGCTACTCCACACACTGTGTACGTAACATTCGCTACTCCACACACTGTGTACGTAACATTCGCTACTCCACACACTGTGTACGTAACATTCACTACTCCACACACTGTGTACGTAACATTCGCTACTCCACACACTGTGTACGTAACATTAGCTACTCCACACACTGTGTACGTAACATTCACTACTCAACACACTGTGTACGTAACATTCGCTACTCCACACACTGTGTACGTAACATTCGCTACTCCACACACTGTGTACGTAACATTCGCTACTCCACACACTGTGTACATAACATTCACTACTCCACACCCACACTATGTAAATAACAATCACTAATCAACACACACACACACACACACACACACAACACACACACACACACATAAACACACACACACACACACACACACACACACACACACACACACACACACACACACACACACACACACACACAACACACACACACACGCCACACACACACACACACCACACACACACATACGCACACACACACACATACGCACACACACACACACACATACGCACACACACACACATCTCAAACCTCACCCCTACAGCTGCCCCTATGGACATTCTGACCCCACCCCCCCATCACAAACCCCACCCACACAACAACCCACCATAGGCCCCCACCAGGGCTCCCACTCCCACAACCCCAATATTCTCCCAGGACCACAGTGATAGAAAAGAGGCTGAAGATTTGGTACACGAACGCAGACGGAACAACGAATAACTATGAGGAGTGGCACGAAAGATTCAGTGAGAAATCCCCAGACATCATAGCAGTCACAGAAACGAAACTCACTGAGACAATAACAGACACAATCTTCCCACCGGGATATCAGATCCTGAGGAAAGATAGAAGGAGTAGAGGGGGAGGAGGGGGAGGAGGGGGAGGAGGGGGAGGAGGGGGAGGAGGGGGAGGAGGGGGAGGAGGGGTTGTACTGCTCATAAAAAACCGGTGGGGATTTGAGGAGATGGAAGGCATGGACGCGATTGGAGAAAGGGACTACATAGTAGGTACAATTCAGTCTGGGGAACGTAGTCATTGGAGTGATGTATAACCCACCACAGAACTGCAGGAGGCCAAGAGAGGAGTACGAAGAAAACAACAGAACAATGGTGGACACACTAGGTGAGGTGGCAAGAAACAAGAGGTCACAATTGGAAGTTGAAGACCCAGATGAGTCAAAGGGATGTTAGGAAGTATTTGTTCAGTCATAGAGTTGTCAGAGAGTGGAACAGCCTAGCAAGTGAGGTAGTGGAGGCAGGAACCATACATAGCTTTAAGATGAGGTATGATAAAGCTCATGGAGCAGTGAGAGAGAGGACCTAGTAGCACTCGGTGAAGAGCGAGGGCCAGGAGCTGAGTCTCGACCCCTGCAGCTACAATTAGGTGAGTACACACACACTAGAGTCATAACATTCAGTCACCTAAGAACACAACATAACTTATATCAAGTTAAACAACTTTTATTCATCACGATCATTTACATTTAGAAAAATAAAAATAATATTTCATCGCCTTGTTTTTTAGGATAAATATTCTTCCTCTTAAGGTAATTTATCAGTGTAACATTAGAGGTTAGTTAGAGAGCAACCCTGAATCACAGGTGAAGTAGATCTGCTTGTTTCCACCCTCACTCTCAGCCCCTTTTCAGCAGACAGAGGACAGAAATATTCATATCTCTTTCATCTGGGTTTCATTCCTCTCCCTCCAAGTAGCTTGAAAATTTTCACCGACTATTGTTTTTGACACTTTAATTCCTGAGTTCACTTATATAGCCACTCAGGGATACAGGAAAAAAATCGAATATTCTCAGATACACGCAATGTACTCCAGTACTCTCTACTGTACTGTAATACTGTGTACACTGATGCTGTGTACACTGATGCTGTGTACACTGATGATGTGTACACTGATGCTGAGTACACTGATGCTGTGTACACTGATGTTGTGTACACTGATGCTGTGTACACTGATGCTGTGTACACTGATGCTGTGTACACTGATGCTGTGTACACTGATGCTGTGTACACTGATGCTGTGTACACTGATGTTGTGTACACTGATGCTGTGTACACTGATGCTGTGTACACTGATGTTGTGTACACTGATGCTGTGTACACTGATGCTGTGTACACTGATGCTGTGTACACTGATGCTGTGTACACTGATGCTGTGTACACTGATGCTGTGTACACTGATGTTGTGTACACTGATGCTGAGTACACTGATGCTGTGTACACTGATGCTGTGTACACTGATGCTGTGTACACTGATGCTGTGTACACTGATGCTGTGTACACTGATGCTGTGTACACTGATGCTGAGTACACTGATGCTGTGTACACTGATGCTGTGTACACTGATGCTGTGTACACTGATGCTGTGTACACTGATGCTGTGTACACTGATGCTGTGTACACTGATGCTGTGTACACTGATGCTGTGTACACTGATGCTGAGTACACTGATGCTGTGTACACTGATGCTGTGTACACTGATGCTGTGTACACTGATGCTGTGTACACTGATGCTGTGTACACTGATGCTGTGTACACTGATGCTGTGTACACTGATGCTGTGTACACTGATGCTGAGTACACTGATGCTGTATACACTGATGCTGTGTACACTGATGCTGTGTACACTGATGCTGAGTACACTGATGCTGTGTACACTGATGCTGTGTACACTGATGCTGTGTACACTGATGCTGTATACACTGATGCTGTGTACACTGATGCTGTGTACACTGATGCTGT